AATGAAAGAGTTCAAAACTCCTCACCTCAAATAGCTGATGGTGCATACACAAGGAAGAAGAAAAATGAAACTTACAACTGAACAAGGGAAGAAGAAAACAGTAATAATTTAGTCTCTAACCCATGAGTCAGTCCTCCCACAGCACCACACCAGCTCTTCCTTTGCTCCCCATGCACAAATGAAAAGAATAATGGTGGTAGAAGAAGATATGACAGCACCAACAGTGAAGGAAAAAAATAGAGACCAATGGTGAAATAAGGACCAAGGACTCACAATGTTGTAGCTAGCAGTGGAGGATTATGGCATTCCCACCACCGACAACTGCTGGAAATGAGAAGGAAGAGACAAATATGCAGATGAGATGGAGTTTAGAACTGCACACCCAAGTTCTAGAATTTTCTCCCTTTACTCTGCACCACTGAAACTGAAATAAGGGATAAGAGAGAGAAAACAAATATGGTAGAGTCGATAATTTGGGCCGAGCTCGACAGGCTAGCCCAAACCCGCTCAAAAAATTTAGGGCCAAGCCCCAAAAAAATATTATTTTTTTATTGTTCGAGCCTATTCGGGTGGCCCGAATACCCAAATAAATAAATAAATTTTAAAAAAATATATATAATATGATAAATATTAATTAATTTTTTAATTTTTATATCATTTTATACCAAAATACTATATATATAAGTGTTTTAATGTAGTTATTTTTTAAAAAAAACTAAAAATAGTTATATTTCATATTTTTATTATTTTTAATCAATAAAATATCTCAAAATAATATTTAAAATATATTTTAATATTGATTTTAATATTTTAAGACCCAATTTTTTAAAAAAATTTTGAGTCCTATAAATCATTTGCATATAAAAAATAATTTATATTTTTTATAAATTAAGATAATTAATTTTAAAAATAAAATTTAGGCATGTACAAATTTCAACTCTACTACTAGATAAACATAATAAACAAAATAATATTCTTGAATAATTACTTGGTTATTGTCCATGCTAGATTTGGTTAAAAATTAAGAGTAAAGTAAAGTAAGAATCCATTTTATGTAAGAGTTAAACAATATAAAAAGTTAAAGAAAAATAATTTTAAAAAAATAATATTTTACTCATAATTAAATAATTTTTTATATAATATAGTGATGGCAATTTTTTTTATATTCATAAAAATGAAAAGTATAATTTACCTAAAAGTTATTAAAAATTTGAACTAATCGAGATAATGATTTTAAGTTAGTAGTTTAACTGTGATTGAATTGAGATCAGCTTAATCATAATTAAAATAATATAATTTAATTAAAATATATAAAATATTTATATATGACTATGATAAGAGCAATATTTAAATAATTAAGACATTAATTTACAAATAAAGGAAACATTCATGAATAAATTATACATAATACAACAAAATAATAACAGAGCTACTTAAATACAAAGTTAATAAGTTATTTTTTATTTTATTCTTTTAAAATTAAGATAATATTTTACACTTAATAGAATTATTAAAAATTAAAATTGGTTCAAAAAATAAAAAAAAATATTTTTAAAAAGTTTCAAGTATTTAGGCCAACTCAAATAAGCCCAAAGCTCGAAGGTGTTAGGGTTAAGCTTGGCTATATAGGCTTTTTAGAAGGGGTAGAATGCTTTAAGCCCAATCTGAATAAGCCTGACTTGAATTGAGCCCGGCCCGACCCGAATAAGCCCGACCCGCCCGAATTACCGGCTCTAAAATCTGGTGAGGGAGGGTATTTTGGTGATTTCACAAGAGATAAGAAAAATAAAATCCCACTTATTTGCATCAGGGGATTCGAACCAAAGACCTTAAGAATCACTAACATCCATGCTTCCACTCTACCAACACTTCCTATTACCATAGTTATTCCCAGACATAAATAAAATATGTTCTAAACAAATTACTATATATGTTCCTATTACTAATTATTTATTTATTTTTTCAAGGTTATTACACTAATTCTCTTCTTTTTTGCTTTAGTTCGCAACTTTTAATCTATAGAAAATGGCCATGCTCCGCAACTAATGTTGAACGTTTTGCGACATATGGCACAGAGAGGTCTCCTTCTCACATTAGTTGTTTTTGTGTGCTGGGATGGATGCACTTCATGTCACGACATGTGGCATAGAAACACTCTTTCCTTATTTTCTTCTCCTTTTGGTGCCCAAGTGGCCCAGCTTCCAACTGAACCCACAATTTAGGCTAAAACACAATCAAAATTAATCATTAAACCTTCCTAACCACACACCATGTCAATTTACTTGGTTAACATAATTAAGCTTAGTTAATTCGAGGATTAAAATTTAAGATGTTACAACTCTTCCCTCCTCTTAAGAATTTTGTCCTTAAAATTTGAATACTTTTTCAGAGCCAGTAAAACCATACATCAAGAGAACAAGTAAGGGTATTGTTGCCTCATCTTCTCCTCAATTTCTCATGTAGCATCACCAATAGTCATCCCTTTTCAAATGACCTTCACAAGCTGAATTATCTTATTTCTCAATTGTTTCTCCTTAACATCAACAATCTTCTCCAGCTCAACTCGATATGTCAAATTTTTACATAACTCCACATTCTCGAGCTCAATCACATGTGATGGGTCGAGATGGTACTTTTTCAATTGAGACACGTAGAATACATCATGCACACCCAACAAATGAGGAGGCAAGGCAATCTAATAGGCCAAAGGCCCAATTCTCTTAAGAATTTTGAATGGCCAAATGAACTTGGGAATCAACTTTTTTTCACTAATAGACCTCCTAATTCCATTCATGGGTGTGAACTTTAGGAACACATGGTCATTTACTATAAACTCTAACGGTCTCCTCCTCTTGTCCACATAGATCTTCTATTGACTCTGAGTAGTCAACAACTTCTAACGATAGTCTAAATCTCCTTAGTGGTTTGATTGACCAAATCAAGACCCATTACGCTTTTCTTACTCAATTCAATCCAACAAAGAGGTGATATGCACTTCTTATCGTACAAGGCCTCATATGGAGCCATTTAGATGCTCACATGGAAACTATTGTTGTAAGAGAATTCTACCAAAGGTAGGTGCTTATCCCAACTGCCATTCCATTTTGGTTAATGATCAAAGTCCATGTTAACAACCAAGCGCTATCTGACCAAATCTAATTTTCTCTTAAGATATTCCTTAGAAAATCTGATTCATCTGGATTTTTTCTACAACTAGCAAAGAGGTCTTGGAGGAATTGCCACTTGTGAAATTATGCACAACTTTGCAAAGAAACAGCCTTATTGTTTTTCAAGAAGAGTTGAAAAACATGCTCAATATCATTTGATTGAATAGTTGACCTAGCTCACTATTGTCTTAAGAAGCCTTTCACTTTAATGTACTTTTTCACAAAAAGTAAACTTGACATAATAAATTCAGTCTTTCATTAGGACTTCAAATAACTGTCACAAATTTAAGTTGATTATGCTTCACCTCTTTCCTCAAAGAAAGACAATCAAATAATTCCCAATCATGGTCCTTGAGGATCAGATCATCCATATAATATATAAAAAGAAATTTTACATATTTAATATCTTCCTTTTTGAATGATATCTTAATTCCAATGATGATTTTATTAAATATCTTACAATTAGAATCCTTTTTCTCCTATCTATTTCTTCCACCACCACAAACCCCAATTAGATTCAGGCATGACACACTTTTTAGTTATTGAAAAAACCCAAGTACTCTCTTTCATATATAGGAAATAGCTTTCAGTGATTTTTTTCCTTTTAAAAGATACAAAAGTGAAACAATCAAACTATTGATATTGGAGGACTCAAGATTCTTCGAATGTATCACTTCTAAGTCCAATGGAATTCATAGGTATAGGAATGTCATATAAATATTTTTTCTTTTGACCATCTTTCAATTGTTGATACAATATATAAAGATTTCAATTGTTGATATAATACATATAAAGATACAACATGTAAGGATTTCAATTGTTGATACAATATATATAAGGACTGCAACTACAAAGAGTATTACATCCTTGATCATGAAATGTCAATTACTTGTTGCACCTATGAATTGTATGAGAGTAGGTGGATTTGAATTCAATGAATGTCATAAGTCTAATTACGCAATAAGTGTCTCACATGACAATAACAATCATACAATTTAATTGAATAACTAATAGAAATTTTCTTATATAATATTCAAAAAATACTAAATCTCAAATTTTTTTAAAAATGACTTACATAATGAATGTTTTGATTATAAGAATTGCTCCTTCCGTTTCAAATTATAAGATAGTTTAAAACAAAATTTTACATACTAATAAAACTCATTAAATACATTTTATAACCTTACTTTTTCAAGACAAAAATATAAAATTTTAAAAATAAAGAAATTTTAAAAATAACCTTCATCTAATACTCCATTGAAGAAATGATATTGAAAAGAGAATATTTGAAAATGATATTGTTAAAAAAAATATCATTACTAAAACTGTATTTTTATTACATATCTTATATTTTATGACCTTAAATCTTTCTTAAAAGTATCTCATACTTTAAGATAAAAAAATATTTTAAATTTTTAAAAGGAAATATATCTTTAATAATTTTCAAGAAATAATTAAAATCTAATAATTGTTATTGAGACACATATTAAGTGAATATACTTCAACCACTCACTAAATTCCAAAAAAATAAAAGGTGAATCAAAGATCTCACTAAATTGAACTTGATTCATGAATCCAAAAAATAGTTAGAATTCTTAATCTCTCTCGACCTGAAAATCCAGAATTTGAATTAACATCATTCCATTGAGTTCTCCTAAACTGCATTAATTAATCATAAAAATTTCATTTCACTTGAAATTTAATTATTCACCATGTATGAGAATTCCCACCAAGCACCCATGACTAAATGGTTAACGCACCCAACTCAATTGACGGATTCATTAGTTCAGTCAATGGAAGTAGAGCAAGCTGAATCTTACATGCAATGGCAAATTCAACACAAAGCCCGACAAAATTTACACCGATATATAGATATGATATCAAAAACTCTAACAAGTCGCGCTATTCATGATTTGATTCATTTATCAAACCTCATGGACTAGTGGATGCTAAAATGGGAAGCTTACATAACAATGATATACAGACAGCCAATGATTGATTAGAACAGCGCAATAAGCAAAGCTTTTAGTAGGGTCATAGTTTGACATCAAGACACAAAGATCCAAGATGATGAGATCACATGAAAGATATATTTTTTAATGTCTCTCTTCATAGTTTGCTTTACTCGTTAACACGCCACGTTTTGTCAGCTCAAAGCAAATCAGTCACCACCCACTTGCTTCTTCCAGGAGTCTTCCACAATCAGTTCATCAACTCCCCAATCTTCATAGCTGACAATTCACAAACAACAAAAACCATGAGATTGGAAAAAAGGAAAAGCTCTATGGCTTGTTTGATTCTGTTTCGTTTTTATGTTCTCAAGACAGTTTTGTTCTTAAGGCAGTTTTGTAAAGCAGTCCTGCAGAACAAAGTTTTGGAAGCAAAAAATGAAAAAAAAAAAAATAGTTGAATCATTATTTTGCCAAACATCTAAATTGATTAAATAAAAGGTGAGCAAATAATTTATTTTATTAATATAATTGTCATTAATGAAAACTTAATATTTTGGCTTTTCTCTAGTTTGTAGAAAAACAAAAAGTAACAAAATATCTATAAGCTGTTCTAGTTTTTTAGCTTTTGAGATCAATTTTTAAATTTTTTATTTTTCAAAACAGTAACAGAAAACACATTTTCCAACAAGCTTTTTAAATTTTTTTGCTTTTCAAACCAAAAAAAAAAAATATTGTTCCAAAAGCAAATAATCAAACAGGCTCTAAAACTCTTTTCTTCCTTCTCTCAGACCGACGAAGGCCATAACTTCTATATTGCATATGATCTACCTTCCATCAGGCAAGTAGCGGCGGATGGTAAATGGAATCTTCCGCTCTCGAAGCTCCTTCATAGCAATCTGGATGGTTGGGAGAAAATTCCAGATGTTTGATCTTTAGTGGATTTTGAAATGAAAAGAAGCTATTGCCCAGGGGATAAAGCAGATAAAAATAAAATAAAAATAGAAGAATTACAGGAATATTAACATGCAACCGATTTACCCCAAATAAAATATTGATGAAAAATGTAAGAATCATAAGAAATGTCTAATATAAATGGCCTTCCGGATGAGGTGGAATCAAACTACAGTTTAGCTTGATGCAATAACAAGTTCTTGAATTCCAGAGTCAATCCTTAAAACTGAAGGGTGTACCAGACAAGGTTCACATGAATTTTCAACATTGAAAACTAACATAGAATATTTTATATTCGCTGGGTATAAAAAAAAAAAAGAAGAATCAAACAGTTCAGTTTAGATAGTAGCAATTTACTCCCTCTAGTCCATAATATAAGCATTCTCTTCCAGCCAATCTTGCTCCAAAATATAAGCAACTTAGCTTTTGTAAAAATTTTCTTTCCCATTTTATCCTTGTATTTATTAACCTATTGCGTCAGTAAATTTATGACCTTCACACTCATCATAAATTAGAACTAAGGGCAAAGAGAAAACAATCTATGTTTTCATGAGAAGGGTTTTTACTGGTATGCAGATTATTGTGAAAAGATGCTTATCTTTTGGACCAGAGGGAGTATTAAATTCCAAAACCAATCCTTAGAACTGAGGGGCGTACTAGACCAGGTTCTCATAAACTTTCACAATTCAAAAACCAGTATGGTACATTTTATCGGGCCAGAGTGGACTGCAAGATATATTATTCAATCAAACTAAAGAAACCTAAACATTCAGTGGAGAAAACAAGAATTCACGAATTAATATGTTACACTGCTCATCCAAGGGACTATGATTCCTTATTCCAGGGTTAACTAGATAATTCTATCATAAACAAAGAACAAGGATTCATGCAACATCGTATAATAGCAAATTGAAATAGCAAGTAACAGAACTTATCAAAGTGAATAGCAAACTACTTCAGAATCTGAAGTTTGACATTCAAAGACAGAAGACCCCATCCTATTCTTTATAAAGCAAGTGGGAGCTGATCAGCGGTCATCAAACTTTTACTAATCACTAAAGAATACACAGTATGAGCCGGGAAAACTGTTAACCAAGACAGAATGTAAAACTAAATCTGTGAGTGAGGAAAACTGATCCTCCCACATTATTTTTTGCAATACTTAGAAAGAAATGTAGAGGAACTATGAAAGAAAATCCCACCCTTTCAATATATGTTCATTCAATTTACTGCAAGATACAAAACAAGCAGACCACATATATGAATAACTAAATTTAGCCCCCCACATCAGAAGCACACATGTCAAACTACTCCGCCCAGTTGAGGGGAACATGATATCTAATCTACCTTGATATCAAGAACTGAATGAAAAATGATGGGCGAACACTAACATTGAATATTCAAGGTATGCTGAAATGCATTAACATTGAAAGAAGAGTGCTTGTATAACATATAAATGCACAAAAGTACTAATTTATTAGAGATAGAAGAAGAGTATTACCTCCAAAGGGTCAGTCTCCCCCTCCAACTCCACCATGACAGGTGCATTCATACTGGTCAAGCAAGTGCCAAACATTATATATACAATCACAAAGACACTATCAACAGAACCTTGCTTTAGCAAAGTTCAAAAAAGAACCTGATTTGCAGAGCACGGGTACCCAATATCCGCGCACGTTCATATTTTGTCATATATTTGGATGTCTTCCTAGGCCTTTCTATAGGTTCTTGTTCTTCCCTATCCTCAGTTTCAACAGTGTCTCCAGGTATGTCATCATTGTTATTGTTTTCCACATCTTCCTCTGCACCTTCCTGCCCACCATCCAATAAACCATTGAATTCAATAGATAATTACTCAATGATAAGTTCTATCAGATTCGTGGGAGAGATAAAGGTAAAGGAAACAAAGTCCCCTACTTCAATCTCAGGCTCCGGTGGTTCATCTTCATATCTGCATCAGCATTCACTTTCAATGAGATACGTTCAATAATGAAAGACTACAAAACATGGCTCTAAAACTTGTAAAGCTGTAATTGCAAAGGCATATGTGAATTTTCATAACCATAGGGTATATAGTTATTACACTACACATGTAACCCCAATCGGAGGAGAGTCGAAAATAGTTTCAAAATCTTTGCAAACCCAAAAAATAACATCTCAAGGTTAGCATTAGATAGTAAGTTCAACACAAATAACGTATTATAAGTTGCTTAATGTCTAGAAAGTTTTCACTATTGAACGGGGAAAAAGAGAAACCCTAGCTATCTATATGTTTGGTTGTAGTAAAAGATGAAGAGAGAGAACCCCATATCCATGTCATTGTAGTCGTCGTCCGCCATTGTATATCGCCAACGTTACCCTTTGCCTCGGTCGCGTCCCCTATACCCTCGTAGAAGGCTTGGATGTGTCAATTCTCCAGAGTCCAGAGCCTTCTCCAACTTCGCCTCCACGGCAAATAATATAAGTATATACACACATACCTATATATATATATATATATAATTATCCATAAAACATAAAAAAATATACGAATTTGGCTGAATAACAGAGCAAATAAATATCAGCAGCATAGCAAAAAAATACGACTCTCAAGTTAAATTAGTTTGTGGCCCCGAAATATCCAATTGATTGACTTTTTATAACGTATTTCATTTTAAAAAAAAAATAACGTAGGAACTGTTTTCATTTTCCCAAAATTTTGCAAAAACTCGTATGAGATAAATAGTCTTTTCTATACAATTTTAAATGTGGGTAAATTTTCAGATCTTATTGATAAAATTGAATACTTGAAACTCAATCCATCCTGAGTTTTATTCCGTTTTTTTCCTTGTAAAATAATACGTATAAATGAGTTTTTTTCCTATAAAAAATTAAAAGCTTGCATTTCCTCCTTTTTTATAGAGCCTAAATATTTTTATTGATCAGTAATAATAATGATACTCATTTTCAATTTGGTATATACTATCATCTTAATTTTCTTAAGAATTCAATATTTTTTTTTCAAATACATTTTGATTAATCAACCTAATTCAAATAGGCATACAAAAAATAATATATTTATACATTCACAAAGCAAAATTATAGATTTTAAATACTTGAACGGTCATTTTTTTTTTTTTTTGCATCTTAGTTTTAACCTTTTTGAAAAAATATTTCATTATGATTGGAATAGGGTCTTTCTCTTTCTTTCTTTTGTTTTTATTCTTTTTTTTTTCCCTTAGAGCAGGTAGGCTCTATATAACATAATTAAAGATAATTAAAATAGATGACACAACTACTTAAGCTATTACATAAAAATGCATTGTGCAAGAATTCTTAGTTTCATTCTTTTTTTTCTTTTTTCTCTTGGATACTTTACCTCAAAAAAAAAAGAGTAATAAGAAATGACATTCTCATGCTTGATCTTGTTTCAATAACAAGTATTTTTTTTTAGATTAAATAAATCACTTTTATCCAAAATTCATGGGAACAAAGAAGGCCCAGCCAAGTAGTTCACAGATACAATAAAAAATTAACCAAATTTACCTGATGTTGAAGCAATCAAAAAATATGCGGAAGTAAATATATAACCTATAGAAAAGTGAGCTAATCTAACCAATGTTGCTTACACAATGGAAAGAGCCATTAGTTTATCTCTCCAAAGGTGTGTGTTTATGAACCCATGCTAAGGTTTCAATCAATTCATGCCAATATCCACACTAGGAGATTAAGAACATAAATCAACCTAAACAAGATGTCCAACTAAGAACATCCATGCCCAGACTAATAAACTATTCATACCAAAAGGGCTATATCTATTGATAAGTTGTGAAGAGTTTAACCATAGATAATCTCTTAACCATCCCATCAAATAGGTAGAAGATTTATTAAACTGTGAAACATTACCTTGCCATAATGCAATGTGCTTCCAATGCCCAATAAAAAGTAACACATCCAATAGTATTTAACATCCAGAAAGCTACCAACTAAAATGCATCCCATGCCAAAATATCACATGTGCCACCTATAAAATCTCACTCCACTAAACACAATTAACCAATATAGTACATGGTAATCAAAGATTTAACTCAAAAAGGTGATTACCAAGCTTTGATTCAAATTCAAGGGATCCCAAGTTTTTTAAATAACGATGAGTTTAAATTAATGAAAATCCTTTATATCAAAGTAAAAACAAGCTTCGGAAGCACGAAGATATCTCAGAGAAGTAAAAAAATTTAAAAATAGTTGAAAAACAAAATATGTGTTGTAATATAGGGCAATGTGCTACGGCTCGTGCACGATGTGCAGCAGCGTGTTGCTCTCTATGCCATACACCGCGGCTCAAGCGCCATGCATTGTGGTGGGTTGCACGAAAATTCAGCAAATTATGCTGTCATTTAATAGTAGAATTGAGGAACTTTTGACGGCCCTAATTTTCCGTCTGACATCCAATTGATGTAATACAGGTGTCTACAAAAATCTATTAACATAAACTAACTAATAGCATGAATTTCACTTTCAAAACAAATCACACCAGGAAGTTGGACACCCAAACATATTTAAATCACTTTTCACAACTTTCACACAAAATAGGTGTCCAAAACCCTCAACAAGTACCAAAAGCTTTTTCTAACATCTGGACCATGACCATTAGACCTAAGGCTACTAGTACAACATGTCACAAATACTAAAACAATAGTATAATAAAAATTCACTCATCAACCCCATTTTACCGAAAATAGAGGGGAAGGTAAATTGTCATTACTTTGCCTCCAATTCAATCTAAACATGTTTAAATCATCATTTCTATACTTACACTAATATTTTGGCCCTATAAACATATATATATATATATATATATCTCAACATACATAAATACTCAGGGCTCAAAATACAAATCAAACATCTTTATCAACAAATAATGCAAGTGAGATAGCATGCAATCTAAAATTGGCAAACATAACTACTCACAAAATAAATTAAGCTAGTGGTGTACAAAAAGAAATATGCTAATTCCTAGCCTCTTGAGCCTTCTGCCTCTTAGCACTAGAGCTAGAGCCTGAAAAGTGTTAAATGAAAGGGGTGAGTCTAGCCACTTAGTAACTAAGGTTAAACCTACCCTATACAATTATATATCAATTATAAACCAAGAAAGTAAAACATGCTCACACATATCATAGCTTCTCATTTATCATTTAATAACTTCTTTATCTCACATATATTAGGTAAGTTGTCACCATATTCTCAGATGTGTGACCATGACTCATTATTCACGTGGCTTGCCACAACTTAACTCATGTGACACGTCATATATTTACTTAGACAATGATCAACCAACCTTATATCCTCATTATTTTCTCAGACTGAAAATGTGGGCTAAAGCACTAAATAGGGTTTCGTCCATGTAACTGGACTACCTAAACTCATAAATCGTGAGATGTGACCAGACCAAAAATCACATGACTCACTCTCAAACTATGGCTTCCCCTATTCTCGAATCTCTAAGGTATCTCACACCCTAGGCTATTCTTCTCATTGAACCGGTAAAAATAACTAGGTTCTAATCCCTTGACAAACTATAGGATAGTCCCTCGATAAACTGTGAGACAAGGCTATACCCTCGTGCATCGAACGGCAGCCTAAATACCATAAGAGTTTTTTCCTCTACTCCCAATCCCTAGGCAACTCTCACTACTCATCATGCCATAATCAATACTCGCTCATTTTCATATTTTCACTTTCATTTACTCATTATCACAACAATCGCGTTGGGCTCACGACCATGCGTTATCCAAGTATATATTCTCATCATTTTCTTAACATTATTCTCACTTATCTCAAAATTCACTTCTCATTAATACATAATTACCTCTACACAACATCACATTCATTTTTCAAAAGCATAAGCATGTTCATAGTTCGAAAACCCTCTTGACTTCACATTTTGCATTTCAAGTCAAAAATAGCATTATGCACATTCAAATTTTTATACATTCATTAAACTAATATATGGTTTCACATTAAAAATCAATATCATATATGTAACATTTACAATTCACATTTAATAATCAATTAACATATAACTACCCAAAGTAGGGTTCCTTCAATTACCTCAAACCTTTGAGAGGTTAAAGGTTTACCCCTCAGTACAAGAGCTTTCAAGCTTGAATTCTCAAGCCAAATAGATAACTAAGAGTCAAAAAATTACAATCAATCAAATTAAATTTCATCAACATTATCAACTCAAGCATTAAACCCTTTATCCTCTACTTTTAAATTTCTCAATGTTTACTCTACATGAGTTGGAACCTATCCATTGGATCATTATCTATCTATAATATCATATAACTTCATTGAACAGTCACATTACCATTAATACCTCAACAACCATAATAATAACAAATTTAATGTCCGTTTTCGAACATTAGTGGAGCCCATCATCTAACAACCACCAAAATCATTTATACTAGGTTTAAATACTCTAAACAACTCACATTAACTCCTTTTAAGTCAACGGATTCGGACTTATACCCCATATAAATTGAAATCACCATCCTCATTTAAACCCTAACTTAAATCCTTAGAAAATGAAAGAGGAAAGGAGAAAAAGGATTTAGAAATTTTACCTTGAATAATTTAGAGCTTCAAACCTTCTCAAATTCTCATCTAAGTCATTCCTTAATAGAGAAAATGTAAGCTCTTCCATTTCCCTTTCCTTTCCTTTTTGTTTTTTGCATCAGTTTGTGTCTAAACTCTGTAGAATTCGCACCGTGTGCCGCAGCGCTTATCACCACGTGCCGCAGCATGTGGTATAGAGAAAGAAGTTCTCACCTAATAGCCCCATGCAATATAGCGCACAGCACATGCATCACAACATGTGGCATAGAGGCTGTTTAGCTTGTTTTTCTCCTTGTTTTGGTCCCCAAGTGATCCAATTTCACTTTGGACCTAAATTATACCTAAAATTGTAACTAAAGATACCTATTATTCTCCTCTAACTACACACCACATTAAATTACTTAATTATCATTATTAATCTTAACAAATCATGTGATTATAAACAGGGATGTTACACTACTTCATCCTAAACCATCACAAGGAAAACTATAATCAAAATCTTTTTTTATCCAGAATTAACTTAGAACCATGTGCATCCATAGCACCTTTTACTAATATCAATGTAGTTGTATGTAAACCTAGAGCAATAGCATGATGAACCAAGAAGTCTCCAGGCCCTATTATTAAGAATAGAGAATTGCTATTTTGATTAATAACATTTAACCACCAAGCAACCATATACTTCACTCGCATTAATCATCGAACTATTTGTTGAAGATAATAGTACATCAAACCCATTATATATGTGTTTAAAGTACTAATTTTTTAGTCTAAGTGATAAATTAAGAGTGGTGTAACATTATCAAAATAAAATCTTATATAAAATTAATAGATTAAAAAGTACTCCCTCCATTCAAAAATGTTAG